AAAATGTAAATTAAATAAATCGAACAGCTACGCATGTTTTTGATGTTTTTTTTTTTTTTCTAATTTTTTTACTTAAAAGAAAAAAAAAACCAAATATTTATGAAAATTTAAAATTTTTATTGTGATACATCACACTTTCGTTTATCAGCTGTGTGGCTAAAAAAAAAAAGTTGGCCAACCTGTTTTTTTTTTATATGTTTACAAATTCAAATTATTTTTGTCAACAAGTTTATGAAAAATGTATCCAGGATTCGTTGGAACAGTTTTATCTCATTTTTTTTCACTTTTGTCGACAGTATGGTCCATTTTTATAATACATAGTTGCAGTTATTCACTCAAAAACCTTTACTACATTCGATTTGCATTTCTTTTATTAGCTGCCAATTCTAGTCTGGGTTTAGTCAGATATGGTACGTTATCCATAAATTTCACTACAAAATAAAAACTATACTAAAATAATAATTTTTAATAAAGTATGCCTTTTTATTGTAAGAACTTTAATTAATTTAAATGAAATATTTAATCCTTAATGTTTAAAAAAAAAAACCAATATTCATTCATACTTTGTGTCATATGCAATACTTAAAAAATACTTGTTTGTTAAAAATTTTTTAAATTTTAGGTAGTTCTGATGGATATAAACTTCGAAGATTGCATATAATATCTTTAAATGTCAGTATCATATTATATTTTACAATTGTCGAAGTAACTTTTTTACATATGATTCAATCATGGTGGCCATTGTTTTACATTCCTGCTTTAAATATATTTCCACTCATTTATAATGCAATGGCAAAAGACTACAGGACAAAGTACAACATAACAGATTCATTTATTGCAATTAATTCAATTTTCTTTTTAATGAATTCATTTATAAGTGAAAACTATTATGGAATGGCTTTTTGTTTAAGCTATGCATTTGGTTATTTTATTATCGGAGAAAGTGGATATTTTTTGGATACAGAATTACCTTCAGTCGATGCATTTCAATATTTGACATGTTTTCTTAACTACTTTGCTGCATTTACTCTTTGTAATTAATATTTTCAATTTACACATAACACTTGTGATAAAAGTTAGTCTGGAAAGATAAGCATATATATTATTATGTTTTATATAAATTTATTGCCTTTATATTATATATTATTGTTTAGTTTTTATTTACTATTCGAAAAAGTTTAATAACGAGTTGTTAAGTATGTACAGTACTAACCATAAAATTTATTTAAATTATAACAACTAGAAAAGATGATATAATAGTTGAAAACAAATTTATTGAAAGAGTACAAATAAACTTGAATAAGTTTTCACAAGTTATATCTTCACAGAATGAACAATTACTTAGTCATTACTATTAATTATGAAATATTTTATTATTATTTACATTTGTAACAATTTTTTTTTTTAATTGAATAATTTTAACTTTTCACAAATTTAATTCATTGAAAAAAAAATTATTTGCCATATAAATAAATATTCAACTATTATTTATAGAAAAAAAAAATTCAGTTATACTACTCTCTATTAACACATTGCATTTAAAATAAATATTTTTTTTTTTTTAAATGTAATTTAGGGAAAAATATTATTTGAAAAAATTTATTATAAATGAAATTTTGCATGTACAAAACTTGTAAAAAAATTTACATAATAATATTTATATAAAATATTTATTTTATTATGAATTATGACTGACTCTCTATCTTTTTTATATATATTTTTTTATATTATTATTTAAATTTTTTAATATTTTATTATTATATAATGATGTACTAAAATTTTTTTTTTTTTTTATGTGAGCCTGGGTGTATGTGACAATTTACAATATACATAAAGAAAAGATAAAGAAAAATCGGTCATTTTTTTGTAAAAGTACAAGTTTATACTATAAAAATATATATATATTTATATTTAAATTTATACTGCCAAAAAATAAATCTTATAATGTTA